TATAATGACAGACCAAGAGCATAAGGACATAAAAAAGGGATGAACAACTGGTATGTTAGGTAGGGGGGGCAGGTATGGTGTTGTTAAGGCAGGCACTGCAGGTACAACAAACGCTATCATAACTGGAATGAAGAAATTACTCACGATCCACCTTATCCACCGCAATGCTTAATAACACTCGAAGGATCTATCAATGCAGTCGGAAAGGTTCCCGCAAAAAGAAGATTTACAGACGTAGAAAGGCTTTCGTGTGTTTCGTGTTAGTGAAATATTAGCCTGAATAGTCCATGGTTCTTCGGTTCCGCGCTCTACTGAGAATCGGTCATGTTGATCTGTCCTCTTTTTCTGAGACAGAAAAAACGGGCTGGCTGGCCCCCACAGCAATCTATCGGGGATGCGCTCGAGATAGGAACCCTACTCCAAATAATGATTTAGCCTCCCTATCACGTCACGGACATAGTAAGGCATTTCATCATACTGGTAGATACCGAACCTTGGCGAAATACTTGCCCTCATAGCGTTGGCAGCATGCATCTCACCGACGACCAGATCTCCTAATCGGGGGAAACAGGGTACACAGGGTACACAGGGTACACAGGGTACCTAGGCCTTGGGACGGTGGTCCGGAAGTCAGGACAATTTCTCCGGTCCGCTGCAGATACGGTGAATCTTTTGAGCCTCTACTTGCATCCCGCAGAGGGGACAAGACGAGTTTGCCTCGAACGCGACCTAGCCGATTAAGTGATCATCGGTGGACATGATACAGCGAATTGATGAGATATTGACTCGGACGACTCCACGAATTGGCCGAAAAACGTACAGATATGCGGATATGCAGATGTATAGACCTGGCCAGGATGGTTGGGCCTGTTGGTCAAGTCCCGAGAATTGGAATGCTTATGTATAATACCCGGTATCCAAGATCCAGGGGGAAAGTATATATTATCCCGTGCCTGCCAACCCGGGCGGATTGATCATCTCCGAAGCTTTCTTTCTATCTCCTGTCTGGCAGAATAGAAGTGTGGCGCGGCATTCTCGTACATTTCTTCAAATCAACAGATATAATCCTCCTTCGTCCAGGTAGACGTGACACGAAACAAAGCAGGAAAGCAAATAGTAGCTACTCAGAAATCAGCAATCATGAAGTGGTCATCGTCCCTTGCAGGCTTGATGAGCCTTGTCGCTTTGGGTGAGTGGTGATTCCTCGAAAAAAACCAAACCGTCAGAGCCAATACTTATTGATCTGTCTTGTTAGCGTCTGCCCAATCCGACTCCGAGACCTTTGTTGATGAGGAGACTGGCATCACCTTCCAGTCCACTACCAACTCGGAAGGCATTTCGTATAGACTGGCACTTCCCGCCGACGCCAGCGCCGATGCGCCCTACGATGTCATCCTCCAGGTCGTCGTCCCTGTCGAGATCGGCTGGGCTGGCTGGGCCTGGGGCGGTTCCATGACATACAACCCCCTGACCTTGGTCTGGGCTGACGGCGAGAACGTCGTCTACTCGTCACGACAAGCTCTGTATGTAGTCCCTTCAAATACCGGCTGATTCACCAGACGGATCATCTGTGCGACATGTATATCATAGGATAGACACGCTGACGAATACTACTAGGGGCTACTACACCCCCGGCATATACGAGGGCGCCTCGTACACCGTGCTCAAGGGCACTGGTGTCAACGACACTCATATCAAGTTCACCGCCCTCTGCAGCGGCTGCGCCAGCTGGGAAGATTTCGACGGCAACGTGGCCACTCTGGATGGTGCGGGCCAGGCCAACTTCGCCTATGCCTTCTCTTCGACCCCGGTGGAGGAGCCCTCCAACAGCGAGAGCGGCTTCGGCATCCACGATACTGTCGGGCACTGGACTCATGACTTGGCCGCCGCACGGTCCGATGATTTCAGCACTTGGGTTTCGGCCAATACCCCCGGTAGCAACTCTACCGTCCGGAGGACCCACCGGTCTCTTCGCTTCGGCTACTAAGCGCGTCCAAGCCGTTCGCCGTTGGCGATGGTGATGCAACCCTCTTATGGCTGACTCAGGGGTGATCCGATTCCTGTCAAATGGTGACAGGATGACGTGGGTCGCCTACCAACCATTGCGGGTTGAGATGTACACATTAGGGGGGAAATATGTTCCAGCTTCAGCTTACCAGTTCGATTCAAGCTGGATACTTGTAATTCTTCTAAAATGGATAGTATAGATAAAGACGAACATTCGGTTGTATCATTTGCTGGCCTTCAACTTGTTTTGCGCACGGCTCGTTCACACTCAGACCATGATGATTGGAAATTGAGAGGATAAGTCGGAGAATGAAAGGCTGAGGACATTAGTAAACTGGTCCTGGAGAAAAAATCCATGGAAGCGCGTGATAGTTTGATATGTCGTTTTGCTGTTGCCCTCATCCAGTTCAGTACAAAGCAAGGTATGTACAGAAGGCACGCCGGAGCACTGGAGAGGTGCTAAAAGAGGAAATCAGCTCTACTCGTACGCGTACCTGAACCCCGCAACGGTACCTACTGTACATGTACTTTAGGTAATAAAGGCTGTGGTCTGCCCGCTACTGGCCAGTGGGAAAAGGGTCGCCCAAAGAGCTGTCGGAGTGGATCAGTGTCATTTGATGAACCGTACCTGCAGATTACAACTTTCATCTCCAATCTAGACCCTCGTCATGGCGCCGGCAAAGAAAGTCAAAATTCGCCAACCAACCCCGCCCTCTCGCACTCTAGTCCTCGACAATGGTGCCTACACGATAAAAGCAGGTTACGTGACTGGTGACGCTGTGGACAAACCCCGCATCATTCCAAACTGCATAGCCCGCGATCGCAATGGCAAAACCTACGTCGGGTCCGAACTCTCCCAATGCGCCGACTTTAGCGAGGCGGCCTTCCGACGGCCTGTCGAAAAGGGGTATATAGTGAATTGGGAGGCCCAAAAAGAGATATGGGAACGGGAATTCTTCGACGCCAAAGCTCCTCAGCGTTGTGATCCATCCGAAACTTGCCTTCTGCTCGCCGAAGCTCCCAACTCGATCCCGATATTACAGACCAATTGCGATCAGATGGTTTTCGAGCAATTCGGCTTTGCTAGCTATTATAGAGGCCTCGGTACGTTCCCTTCCCGTGGCACAAGAAAACCTGAGCGGGTGAAAGAGTGCTTGTACTGATAGTTGGACATGCCGCTGCCTTTCCATATAGGACCGACCTTCAACACTTACCAAGACGTGCAGGCCATGTTTCCTCGGGCCGACAGCGTGTCTCCACCACCCGTTGCCCAGTTTCCCGCCGAAGTCGTCCTGCTCATCGATAGCGGGTATTCCCACACCGTTGTTACACCTCTACTTCGAGGGAAACCCATCCACCCCGCCGTCCGAAGACTCGATGTTGGTGGAAAGCTTCTGACAAACTACTTGGCGCGCCTCCTCTCCCTCCGCCACTACGATATGCGCAACGAGACACATATTGTCAACCAGATGAAAGAAGCCGCATGCTACGTCTCGCTCGACTTCAAAGGCGATCTCGAGCGCTCGTGGAAAGGCACACGTGGGGAGCGTCGCGAATCATATATCAATGGTGGTGGGATTGCAAAGGACTACGTGCTCCCGGACTTCCATACTCGATCGCAGGGCATAGTGCGTGAGTATGACCCCTCACGAGCCTCCCGTGCGAAGAGACTGGCTGTGGGCGAGTCTAGCGAGGATGTTCTCACCCTCCGAAACGAACGCTTCTGCGTCCCTGAGCTCTTGTTTAACCCGTCCGATATTGGCATCCGCCAGCCTGGTATACCAGACCTAGTTATGCAATCTTTAGAGTCTCTACCCCTTGGTCTATGGCCTGGTTTCCTGGCCAATATTGTCGTCGTGGGTGGTAACTCGCTTTTCGACGGTTTCATGGAACGACTACAGGATGAGATTCGGAAGATGTGCCCTGAAGAATGCGTCGTTCGAGTTACCCGGGCCGGTGATCCCATAACTAATACCTGGAACGGCGGTGCCAACCTGGCTAGACATGCACACTTCAAGTCTCTTGCTGTTAGCAAACTGGAATATGAAGAACATGGCAGCACTTGGTTGGCCCGAAGGTTCGCAGTGGGAGGTGACACGTGAAAGCTCGGAACATTAGCGATGCGCTCAGATTCATCGTTAATGATTGCCCGAGTTCTATTCCGAGAGTCACCTAGCCTTCAAGGGTCCCGCCAAGTCGAGGATATCAGGCAAAGCTGCAGCTTTCAGACTGCTATTATCCTATACTTGGCGTACTCTACGTGTCGTTACTGCCGACTGTCGAGCTATTACGCCTGAGGTTGCTGGCGTGTTAGGTATCGCTCGCTACATGGTCGAAGCTAAAATGCAACCACGGCAAAGCGAATAACCCGTCGGCCGCGTCATCGCATTCTCGGGCTACTCCAATACAATGCAGAAACTAGTGCCACGTCGTCATCTATAATCTAGCTAAAGGCAACCCTTACTGATCGGTCAGACACCGTCTAGACACCCCTGGGGATACAGTAGGTATCCATGCTTGTATTCCGGCGTCTGCGGGGGCTGTCAAGGTGAGGACGTGACTTCGCCCGACTGGGGGGGTTGTCTGTGCTCGACGATGATGTTACGGTCTAAGCAGTGCTTTTGATATCACTGTATTATTACTTTGTTGTTGGAAGGTGGAAGAAAACAGGAGTTCTCCCTACCTTGTGAGGAATCCGCCGTCCGAGTAGGTATCATCTTGGACTGCTTGGTATTTGGATTCCTTGGAGGGTGGCTAAACGTCCTGTAGCAGAGGTGTATCGCTGAACCTGAAAAATGAATTTTGCGAGACGGATATTGTACGCGTACTGTGTTCCCATCAGCTGGTCGAGCTCCGCTGGTACCTATTAACCAAACGGCTCGAGTACCTACGCAGTACATACACTATGACATGTTAAAACTTCGTCCTACAAAGAAGAAAAGATTTTTTTTTTAAAAAAATGGGAAGAAAAAAGAAAAGAATTGTCCAATTTACTCCCCCGGACAGGCTTGAACTGTCAACCTCTCGATGTCTTGTTTTGTGTTCTTCCTCTTTTCAGATTGGAACTAACGTAACAGTCGAACGCGCTAGCCAATTGCGCCACGGAGGAAGGAGTGAGGAATAAGTTGATTGTAGGTCGATGGTATAGGGATAATATAGTCTTGGACGGTTATGAAGAACTTGTATTTCCAACCCTGTCGTCTTTTAAGAAACATGTTTGTTGTTCATGTTGCGTAACTTACAGGGCATAGGATTACAGGTGTACTTTAGTTGGCTTGATGCCCGGGCTATTTTTGCGTTGAAAGTGGTGTTGTTTACACGTACAGGTCTGCATATTATAGGTGGGGTGTCTAAATGTATTTATGCCTGAGGGGAGACTAATATTCTGCAAAGAAATCATCTTTCGCTATGTATTGTGGAACGACCGGACCGTTGACTTCCATCCCGGACCAAGTTCGACATGCCATCCGCTCAAATGACCAATCTATAACATGCACTGGCTCGCTCGTTCGCTTTCCATTCCTTGGATATACGAGAAACATCGAGCTTGGGTATCTATCTCCTTCCTCATGAACACCACCGACGTTGCTCGTTAACAACTTCTCGGTCATCAACATCGTGTGTGCTCGATGATTCAATACATATCGCGGCATCGGCGACCACGGCTCCTACTACACCCTATATACGAGTCAGTAACAGGAAAAGAGGGAATCGGCATTGAGGCATTGGGACGAGTTCGAGGTAGGGTCGAGGCCAATCTTACAGTCACACTAATAAGAAATATGTTAGTCTTGTATAATACGTAGTGCGCCCGTTGTTAGATGGTATATAGTCAGGTGGATATAGACTTGAGAACCAGGCCTGGCTTGACTTACCAGTGTCATTGTAGAGCCCTCATGGTGGATAATGCAGTAACCGCCCCCGCAGCCCTTGCAGAGTTTCTGCGTTTCGGCGATGCAGTCAACACACTATCATATGTCAGTTGATCTGAAGCAGCGTATTTTTTTCCGCAAGGAGATATGCAGGACTCACGTTGCGGTCACATTCCCAGCAGCTACGGGTTATTTTTGGGCACTGGTTCGCCATCTAGTTAGCTCGGGTCCTAAAATGATGTCCATTCCGGGCCTCGGGGTTGAATACGGTGGCAGTTTCAGATTTTCTCCCTATTTGGTTTTGGTGAGAGGGCAGGAGAAGGAAGTAAAAGAAAAAAATTCGAAGGGGCTCTGCTTGCATTCATCTCCACAGGAGAGTCTTGTTTGAGAGTATCGAGTGAATCAGGCGGTTCTTGGCCTGGACGTCAGGCGAGATTGCTTCATGGAAGCTCAATTGAGCTTCGAGCTCGAGGTCTGGCTCGATCTCGATCTCATCGACGGGACCTTGAGGCTGACTTTAGATTGCAACTAAAACAATATCCCATCCGTACCTTTACTTTGGGCTGCTCCAAAGCAGCTATTTCGTGTTCGATCAGATCTGAAGCTTCGTCGACGATGTGAATAGCAGAGACCTGTCCAGCAAGCTCCTCCGCTGTAGGTATTTGATAACAAGCCTCGCACCACCATTGGTTACAGCTGAAGCAGTATCTTTCACGGATGCACTCGAGACAACGAGGGATGAACCTCTGTCTCTGGCCTCCGGCTCGAGTGGCCCCGGTAGGGCAGGTGGCTGCCTTGACGCCGGACGAATGCAAGCCAATGGGTGACAATAGAGGGAGATCCGCCGGGCACGAATCGCCGTACACAGTGAAGCCCTCGGGCGCCGTTCCGCACGAGGCACATCCGTTCAGCGCGAAGGTAGCGACGCCCCAGGGATTCGGACTGTTGGGGCCGGCCGTCGGGGCGGGTATCTTGCCAAACACCGGCGAGTTCCGATGGTGGGGGCTTGTGCAGAGGACGGCATCGAAATGTAACACCCCACGACAGTCTAGAAGCGTCTCGGCCCAGCCTTCGGCAATCCGCTTACTGATCATCCTGCCCTTGCAGCTGTACCAATCATCCCCCTCGTTTTCAATCGAGTCTTTCAAAGCATTCTGGGACTTGTGGTTCCAGCCAACGCTGATGTTTGCGCCGTTGGACACCGTCGTCTGCGTGGATGATTCTGGAACCGGGGGAGGAGCGGTGTCCTTGGACCCGAAACAGTACAAGGCTTTCAGGCGTGGCATGTCCTCTGACCGCGTCGAACGGCAGGCGTAGCGCAATGCCTGCATGAGCTTTCGCTCGTTGAGGTTCTTGACCTCCCGGATCGACAGTACGCGGACCCGTGAGGACGGATCCACAAGTATATCGTTTATGAACTCAGATGTCACCGAAAGCCCATCTAGAATCAGAGTATTGACATCCTGCAGTATGTTGCGTCTTCTGAGGTTGGAGAAAATGCCCCTCAAGGGGCCCGAGTAGAAGTCATCCTCAGTGACATGTTCGTCCACCTGTACGTTGCGCCATACTTGTCCGCCATGGTCGATCCCGTCGATATCGAACTGGGCCGTCTTGACCTGGCTTAGATCGAGATGGCGAAACACACCGGGCGTGTCATAGATCAGGTGTTGGAAGGATCGTGAGGTCGCAGCAAGGCTGAGGAGGGCCGAGACTGGCAGGTACGGGGCGGTCTGATATAGGACAAGTGTGTTCGACAGTAAGTCGAGGAGGCTCGGAGTAAGGTCGGATCTCGTTCCGGTTTGGTTGCGCGTGTGCTGAAGGTAGCTGAGGTCTCCGGATGCCATTACACACAGGACTAGATTGGACTGAAGAAAGATCCTTGGTCAACTGGACGGCAGTGGCTATAGAGGCTACTACGGGGCTTGAAGTCAAGGGCGAAAATGATGGTGACAGCGCCGCTCAAGACCAGTGCCAGTATAAAAGACGCAGGTAGGTTGGTAGGGAAGAAAAAACAATGAGGGTCAGTTGTTAGTCTCCCAGGACTTACTCGCAGGAGGGTAGAGCCCAAAATGTATGCACAGGGACGGTACCGTTGAACCCTCACACGACGTGTAAGAAAAGCTGATTGGCGTTGATGGACGCCATAGAGAGCAAAACATCAAGGAGATGCAGCCGTTCTTCTACAGGTGATGGATATGGCATACAAGGTGCTGACAAGGATGAGGGAAACCTACGAGTACAGGTGCAGATACAAGTCCGATACAGGCAAACGGCAACTAGGATGATGGATCCGTGTGCCAACGATTCACCTGTTCGGGTTAGAACTGTCTAATAGCACACAGCGGGGGTTAGCGAGGATCTGGAATATCCCTGCTACGGTCTCGCCAGGAGATTTCCTTTGTGCGCGCGACCGGGATTAAGCAGAGCAGTCCATGTCCGCTTCAAAAAATAATACAAAAAACAACTTAAGATAGATTTGCAGACGGCTGAGCAGCCTGACAGGCTTGGCAGGTCGATCCGACGGGAAGGGTCGTATTGGGTTGTCTGACTGTATCTTTTTCTTTTCATCGCGCCAGTCCTGCAGACACTATAACAAACAAGCCGACAGGGACGCCATTGGCTACTCTGTGAGTCTACATATGTATGAAGGCTCATAATAGTGGTGACTAGAAGAAAACATCCATGCTGGCAGGGTAATGAGGGATTTTGTAGTCCACCCACGATCCTAACACAGAAGGGTGGTAGGCATGAGGTAGTACCGTAGTGTACCTACTTGTATAGTAATTACGTAGGTTGTGGTTACCTCCTAACCTTATGTACCTACACGCAGTACATTGCAGCTACTGCTTTCCACAACATATGAACATACACGCGCAGATGTATTATATATCGGATTTTCTGTACAAGTGCTGAGCTCAATACAGTCTGTAGATACTTATCCCACACCTCAAAGTATGTATGTGAATTATCTTCTGTTACGCGAGCCACAGGTTGGCTCTGGCTCAAGCGGTGTAAGCGATAAGGACCAAATCTGATAGAAGAAAACTCTCAAACAGAAAGGGAAGGATCTCATGTACCGCGTATTGTACACGCATATCCAGCGTGCTCCCATAATAAGCCGTTTTCTATGTTCAAGAAATTTATAGTGATACCCAAGCACTAGCCAAGGCGGCCAAGACAACATTATGTCGGAGGTTCATGATGTTTGTCTAATAAGGAAGTGCCAAGTTGCTGGCGCTGTTGCTCATTGCTTGGCCGCGCCATTTGCTGTATGTTATGTGCCTATCCTGTAGACTAGGTAAATAAGGTGCAGAAAAGGAGGATTCGGGGGACAAGCTGCTGGAACCAACAAATACTTGTATGATTTGCGACTGTCAACCCCACCTTCTAGATAGAGCTTGAACCCTTATCGTCAGGGCTTTTACATATGCTTCAGGGCGATCAGATCTGACGTGTCGTGGATTGTATATGATCAGTTTCTCCTCTTGTCTAAAGGTACAGATGCTTAGTTAGATAGCTGACAAGTAGGGCAATCTGACTATCTCACGAATCCTTGGCACGTCAAAAGATTGTAGGATAGGAGGAGCGCGTAAAAGAGGGCATATCAAAATGCTAACCTACCCGTACCTACCTGTTGCGCATTTTACTAAGGACATTACCCCGCAGAAATGTGGACCGACCTGGTAGGTAAGTAGGGGGTAGGCAACTCATAGGGGTATTTCAAGCATTCGCTTCTAATCACCTGATGAATTGCTATAAGATGTAATGAGTTTAGGTAACTAAATTATGGGAGTCCTATCTGTTAGCCTTCCTCAAGTTGCAAGCTCGCGATTGGAAGATGCTCTTGTGCATCTGCATATGTCTAGGTTGGAGCGGGCTGCTTGGACTCTGGAGGCAACTGTCCTAGCAATATCACAACGTTACGAGTACCATAACAGAAAGCCTAAACTGTCAGGTCAAAACATCAATGAGTGGACTGGTCATCTCTTTTACTACTGATCATCAAATTTGGCTCCAGGAGGTGCCAGATGGAATTTCAGCCTAACTGTTGCTTAGCGCGACAACAGATGAGGGTCGTTTCTGGTCTACTTGAGTCGACTTGGCCCGACTCCAACATGGTCTCCCTTCCAAAGAACTGCTACCTACTAGATAAGTCCTTGGAATAAGGTTCATGCCACGTCCTAGAGGGGCAAGGAAATGTAAAAAGCATAATGCTACAATGGCCAGAAATATACAA